TACTATGACAGCAGTTAATTGAATATAATTAGATATTTTAAGCCACTGAATAAAGCATAGTTAAGATTAATTTTATTGAGATTAATTGTAAATAAGGATAGACTAACGCTGTGTTTTGACAGGCATAAAAAGTAGTTGTGCAAATTAAGCAGGAGCATGGCCACCAGTCCAAAAATCATATATTATTTTAATGTCACACCTCAGAATCATCTCCTCAATAAACATGACTTTTCAAACCCAAACAGACAGGAATCTTGAAGAAAAACAAACAGCTTGCGGAGATTAAAGAGCCTTTTGTCCTTTTTCATGTGCATTTCTTTTAACAGACTAAATTAAGCGAGTCTGGTGTACGTTTTTTAGGAAGGAACATTTCACACTGAATGGAAAAAATGTTCTATCACATATGAAATTCGTGCAGCTGTGCGGAACTCGGTCCAGATGGTTTGAGACTATAAAACACCACCAAATGATAGACAGTAGGCCTTCCCAAGATTATGTGATAAAGTCACAATCTTTTATTTTGACCTCCCAAATTTCTGTTTTGTTTCATTTCCAACCAAGTCACACATTTTCTTTTACACTCCTGTTTCTCCAAGAGGGTTAAAAGAAACATTGTGCCTACTGAGTGCTGGAAATTAACATAAGAGGAGTTGGAGAAGGCCTTCTTTCAGAGACACCAGCGAAATCATTCAGCCACAAAATGCAATGATAGCTATGACAACAATGTATGCAGATGACAACACTTGATGATGACTCTTACAAACAATGGTGGCTAGAAACATTTCTTAGGAAAAGACTACTCAATGAAAACCCCTCCCAAATACTTTCACACCCAGCTAATTCATGCCTAGCCTTTAAGAAAATTAACACAGTCCTCAAGAATGCTGAACAAATCACTAATAAGAAAGGCACTTAAATTGATTTTGAAATAACTCAATAGGTGATTAACATAATATTTTTAAAGCAGCTGCAATGTGCATATGTGTGGGTGTATAATACATATAAGCATATATATTATATTTCCAATACCTCTGAGCTCTTAATCGAACAAGGGCTTTCTGCTCCTCAAGCCTGCCCCTCCACTGCCTCACAACTTATTTAGGATGCTCTCAGTCTTTCTAACGAAAATTCTAAAATTGTCTGTGAAACAAGACTACGACAAGCCATTCTGCAGTGAAAGATTTTAAATCATCCAGCCTCTTCTAATAGACTTGAGACTTATTGAGGTAGAAACCATAAAAAATGAAGAAGGGAAATTTAATCCCTGAAATATTGATTTGCACATTAATATCATATAGGCAGAGGGCAATTTGGCTTCGTGGAAATGACACATTGTCGACCCTTGGTGAAGTCAGAGCCAATCTAACTGCTGAACATGTCTGAATCTCAAGAGTTATTAAGGGCCTCCCTTCTTGCCTTTATGACTTTTCTTCAGCCTACCAATGCAATCTTAAATGTATTATCTTTAAGAAATAATTGTAAAACCTCAGGGGTTTTCCAGTTAATGGAAGGGAAGCCAAACCACATCAGATTCTGAAATGCAACATTAAACCCTTGCAATCAACAAAACCACCTCAATTCCCATCCATCCAGTGCAGGATCTAATATTGTTATTAAAGATAATCAAATTGCATTGTGTAAATTTAGGCTCATGGTCAGAATGGAAGCAGTAAATTCTGCAATATTAAACAGCGATTTTCTCAGCCTCTTCTGTTTTCCTTGCTGGTGCAGCATCTTTTCAAATAATCCAACTAGCTCAAAATTAATGAACAGACTTGGGGCTCATCTGCCCCAAACTGCAAAAGATGACAATAGAGCTGATCAGGTTTCCCTCATTTTTAACTTTAAGTGGCAACTTTCACTTCCTAGACCCAGAGCCCAGTCTCCTGTCTCACCCCACAGTTGGTGCCATGGCTTTGACTTCCACAACTGGTTTACCTGACCTTTCTTTGTTCCTTAGGTACATTTCACTTTTCAGATTTATGGTATTTCGCCCATATTTCATTGACTATATCTTCATTGCCATACAAATGAAAACACTGCAACATCAGCTTCCTTTTTTAAATCTACAAGCAACCAGCGATGGAGCAAACACACAGTGATGCTCTCTCCCCAGTTTATGCCATAAATATTAAAACCGTTTCTTCCTTAAATAACTGTATAAACCTTATGGTCCCCACACTGAAGCCAGGTGCCAGAGGTTAAAACAGCTGGCTAGCCACCTTTTATTTTTGTGTGCCTTCCTGCTGACTGAAGCCGCAAACGTTGAAAACTATCAAATATTCCCTTAAGGATGTTTTTAAGGCGAGGAAGGAAAAAAGGAAAAACCTTCATTTTCTTTCCTAGGCTCCTCTGTGGAGATAAAACAACAACAACAACAACAACTCTAAAACACAATCAGTCACAGAGGTGGTGAAATAATCACGAATATCTGTTGTATTTAAACCGTCATTTCCAACAACTTCTATACACAATTGTTTTTATTCTTCAGTTAGAAAAGAGAGGGGAGAAGAAAGAAAGAGAGAAAGAAAGAAAGTCTGAGCTTGCTCTGTCAGTTTTGCCAGTAAATAGAAAGTAAAACAAGTGTTGATGGCACCGAGAGTTACATACCCGGGCTGTGTTTTTGCATTGCTCTCAATGGAAGCGATCGATGCCCGTGTCACTGTCGCGTCCCAATCGCAGCCAAGTCTCAGCCTTAATCTAAGCAACACCCGAAAAGGCAGCGGCAGCCGCAGCCTCTCCCTGACTCTTCCATCCATCCACCCAACTAAAAATATAATACTACATATGAGCTTTAAGCACTCCACGTTTATAGGGATCAAGCCACTGAAAATCCAGGAGAACACAATAAAAAAAAAAAACCCTCCTCTGTCTCTTGTCTCTCTCCTCCCTCTCTCCTCTCTCCTCTCTCTCCTCTCTCTCTGTCTCTCCTTTTGCCATCTACATGATCCTTGATTAAACATGGAACAGAGTTAATAAAAAAAAAAGAGGGGGGGGGTAAGGACTCAAGGAGAGGAAATGCAACTGTCAGAAATCGGGACCGCCAGATTTCCTGGTGAACCTGCCTGTGTCTGAGTCAGTGTCAATCCACCATCTTCCGCCAGTGAACTTGTCTTTGGGTTTTTGTTTGGTTTGGGGGGTTGTTGTTGTTGTGTGTGTGCTGTTTTTTTTT